ACTAAGTTCAGAAACCAGGGAGAAAGGGCTCAAAGGGCTCAAAACACCAGCCATCTCTCGTGCAAAGTGGTCATTCCTGGACTCTCCAAGCCTCCCCTTTTGTGAAATAGAGAAGGTATTACAATCGTACTTCACAGGGCATCATTTAACAAGGGCTAAATGAAAGGAGACAACTTCCTCACAGAACGCGCAGGAAACATCTGGTAAACGATGGCAGTGCTTAGGGTCATCGTTTTGCTCTACCAGGAGAAACGCTAACGGGCAACCTAGCCAGGTGACGCAGATCCTATAGCAAGCCTCTTCGCCCCAGGAGAAGTCAGAATCCTACAGGACACGGCTGCCCACAGCTTACTTCATATCACAGTATATCTAATACGCCCAAGGCTTAAACCCTCAATTCATCCAGTAACTTCCAGAATCGCTGTTTTTTGTTTTTACCCTAATCTCATAGATGACCTCCCAAAAGCCCTCTCTCTTCACCTAACTCTTCTGAACAATCTATTTTGCACATGGACATTTCTCTTCCTGGTTCCTCTGCGAAGAGAGGCTTCTGCGGCTGCATCACAATGAGTGCCGTCAGCTTTACACAAGGGCTAAGAGCAGAGTCACTCCTTTGCAACGGTGAGTCAGCCCAGAATCTCCCCCACTATTGAACCTGATTAGGTTACAATGTAACTCAATTTTCAAAAAACATATTTTCACAAATACCTAAGAATTCCCCCATCCAATCTAAATTTCCTTGGCAACCAAGGGAGTTAAAAGTAAAAATCATTTCCCTGGCCAGTTAGTCAATGAATTTATAATGTATTCAAAATCTCTCAGGTTAGATGGTTCTCAGTCAATGTTAAAAGTCAGACACAATAAAACATGAATTAAACAATAACACTGAGCATTCGAATAGAGGTAAAGAAGTTATTATAAACAGGGCAGAGTTCCAAACCCAGTCTCAGGTTTTGGCTCCAGTGTCCATGCCTCTGGGAAGTCTTCTCCACCACCCTGGCCAGTGCCACCTTTCTGCCCTTTCTTAATTTTCACCTCCTTTCCCATACTTAGCTTAAAGCCAGGGTGTGTGCATGCTCGTGTGTTCTCTTAGAATGTAACTTCTTAACAGAGAGGCCATCCCTCCAACACATGGAACACCACCTGGCATTACGGCACATTCACTGCGCAGGCGACACCGGGCAAGGCGGTCACAAGAAGCGATGACCTGATCAAGGGTTGAGGACCCCACAGACAGCAAACAAGGCTTTGTCACGCTATGGTTTCCAGTTAGGCTGCCATGTCTACTTTTAGATTGTGCTGCTGAGTGCTACGTGCAATGAAGAGTTTACGTTTCCTCTGTCACTGTGACACATTCCAAAAGCTCAGTGTCTGTACGAACCTTTCAGGGAGAAAAACAAAGACTAGGTATAAAGTGGGTTCTATGAAGGCTCCATGCTTCTTTAAAGGCTCTCTCTGGAACTGTATTTTGGTTTCTCAATGCCTTCAAGAGATTGATCTAACTGGACACTATACATTAGTTTTGGCCATAGAACTCCATAAGAGTCAGGCGTTTGGTTCCTTTAAAATCTTATTTTTCTTAATGTTCAAATGAATGAATGAAAGTATTATGAAAGTAACTAGAATTTCTATAAAGTTATATCTGCTTATTTTCCCAAGTTATTAGGAGGTAAAAGCGTAAAAATAAACAAAACACTATTTTTGCTTTTCAATGAGGAGCACTAATAGGTAAATTAATGACTTTTCCTGGCTCTTGGCAGGCTTCAGAGCCACACACTTTTTGCCTAGTGGTGAAGCATTTTCAACTTCATACATTTTCTAGGAGACAGTCCCGGTTAGGGAGAGACAGGCCAGGCCATTAGAACTACTCTGTACAGAAACTCTCAGGTGAAGGGCAGATACAGAGGCTCAGAAGGAAACCAACGCAGAGATACCACGTGCCAACTGCCTGTTCTGCTGGAAAGGACACGGTCACCTGAGGTGAAACCATTCTTAGATTCTGTCAGTAGAATCTAACAACACTGACGAGTCAGTCAGGCATTTTTTTCTACTATCCTTGATTCCAGTTGCCAGGACATAAACATGGACAAGTACAGCCAAAACATCCAGGAGGGGAGAAGACTGTGGAGCAGAACTGAGCAGGAGCCCTGGTGCCACCCCGAGTAAGAAACCTGCCCGAGTCTTCTGGTCTCTGAGATGCTCCAAGTTGAGCTGGTTCCTGGCTCGGCCAGGGCAGCCTGGGCTGTCAGCACGGGCAGTGAGGAGCCCAGTACAAGAGGAGGTCCCCATATAGAGAGGCGGCCAGTGCAAGAGGAGGTCCCCATCTAGGATTACAAGCGCTCACAGCGTCCACTCAGTGAAATCTGTCCAGCATGGGTGGGTAAATCAACACAGTGAAGGTGCCTCATGGTTTAGTGCAGTACTGGAGGACTGCCAGTTAACACTTCAACAGCTTTTAATCTCCAGAGACTCCCAAGGTCAAGTGCAGGGGAAAGAAAATCTGGGTCACGCAAACTGCTTTTGTCATGTGGGGTGCATGGGACTGTGGCCATGAAGGGGCATTCCTGCTACCGTCGAGTCATCATTTTGTATTCTTCACCAAAGACATTTTAGCAAAGGAAAAAAAAGACAAAATCACCTCCTAACCTACTAGGTTCACGAGATGGAAGAATCAAAGGAGAGGACAAACACCTTGATGCAATATACTGCCTGGGAGAATCTTTATCTTAAAAAGGGGGCAACTAAGATCAAAGCAGTCAGTGTTGACTAGGAGCAAGGCTATAGGTATTTCTACTGATGCAAATACACAGTTCATAGCAAATATAAATATTTGAGCACATAGTTCAAATTAAAGGTTGGATCTGCTTAGTCTGGAATGACTGGTTAAGTTCTGACAATTATTCCCTTTCTGAAAAACAGTGTTATTATTCATCTTGTGGAAAACTCAAGAATTAGACAAAGATTTGCTATCATGAAAGAATTTTATGATTAAAAAAAATTACTTCAAGTTTTCTTCTGTTGCAATAATGCTCTTATGACCCAAAACACATGGGCAAGGCCATAGAAACTCTGTCCTCTGTATCATTAGCACACTTGCATAAATTTCAACTCCAAAAATCAGTGAATAAGTTGAAGGAAATTGGTTCAACTTCCAATTTGTGGTTGAAATTACAGTTTGAGAATTAGACCAAGTGGGCCCAATTCACTGCTATTGCCTGGGCAGTGACAATAGTCTATACAACACGCAATCCAATGAATTAATGGGCCTAAAGGTCATCTTGCTCATCTCTCCTATAATATTTCTTTGAAGCATATTGGCTTTATGTGTGTGGCCAATATTGTGAAAATTTCTTTGCAGAAAGAATACTAAAATTATTGATCATTCAGAGACCACACAGTGGCCAAAGACCACGTGTGTAGCAAGCTAGGTACTGCCTGAATCATTTCACAGGTCACGGGGAAACTTGGCTACTTTGTTTTGAATTGCCTAGGCAAATGTTGCTTTGAAGTACTCAACATGACTAAGGTCCTTTTAACATTGTGTCCTCCTTTAAGGCTTGAAAGCCAACATCTACAGCTGGCCAAGAGAGCAGGAGTTGGCTGGCTGTCTTCTAACCAGACTCAAGGAAACACCTGAGATCAATCACCCTCCGGCCTCCTCAGGTTGGTTATGCTCATGCAGGAGGGGTGAACTGCAGACCAAAGTGCTTGTGCTGCAGGCACCATGTGACAAGGCCCAATGCTTCAGTTTCCTCATCTGCACAAGGAAGGCACATCCAATAGAAGACCTGACCTAAGAACTTCTGGAGTCACACACAGAGGCCTCACACTGCTTCCTCCCTCCGCCCTCTGCCAACATTGCTGATATCCAGGTGTGCCAGGAGCAGTAAGAAGGATGCCTGAGGGCAAACGTGCAGTCTGCACCTTCTTGAGTCCTGCCTAAGCTCTTTAGGTAATGTCTAGAGCTGGAGACCCACTCCTTAACAACTAGTGAAGTCAAGAAGAGTAAATGACCCCAGAATGACCCAATGTGCAGCCAGGTGACCCTCCAAGTGGTATGTGAATGACACACCAGCATTACAAATGAGCAACAGGTCCCAGATGCCCAGTCCACAGACCTCTATCATTCTAACCTGTTACTCTCAAGAAGGGCAGATGCATTAGAGACGAACCTGACTCACCTGGTTTCCACCTAAAGCTGGACAACCCATTAAACACAGCAGATCAGGCTTTTCTGCGCACTGGAAATCACCTGAGCAGCTTTCAAAACTCAAGAGGTCCAAGACACATCCCCAAACTAATTATATCAGAATATTGGGGGTGGGGGCGGGGGGTACAGTCAGCCTTCACTTCCAGGGTTCCCAGCACCATCCCAGATGCAGGTAAACTTGAAACCTGCTATGTGGTGTCACTCTTGACCTTATGTATTCCGTTGCAAACAGTACCAGCATAGCCAACCCCGGACACTCACACCCACCACCGAGCAGAGCAGGTGTAACAGGGAGCCCAGAAGTGCTTGCACAGGGTCTGCACGGGCCCAACAGAGTAGAGCTTCCTAACAAGGAATCACCCAGCTCCTCACGGGGGGGGGGGGGGGGGGGGGGAGATGCAGTTTGTCTAATAGCTCGCACTCAACTGCTGTCCAAGTTTGCCAATCTAAAAAAAAAAAGGTACCGCCAACGCCTAAATCTGCCTCTGACCTTAGGCCCCCATCCCACCCTCCTTTCTTAAAGACAAATCTCTTGGCAAAAAAAAAAAAAAAAAAAAAAAAAAAAAAAAAAAAACAGGGTATGCTTGGGTGTTCATCCCACACTCAAAGCCTGCAGACCAGCAGAAAATAAGAAAGCAATTCCCCAGGCCGACTAGAAAGCACCCCCGCGGGCTGGCCCCCCTGCCGGGGCGGGCTGACACGCGCAGGCCCGCGGACACTGCACCTGCTGGCGCGCTCGGTCGCACCTGCCGTTCCGTGCCTGTCCCTCCAGTCTCCCAGCAGCTCCTACCTTCCAGCAGCTCGTCCAAGCTGGTGATCTTCCGGCTGCCATCGATGGTGTAGATGGTGCGGACCCCCTGGGGTAGGTTCACGTTATCTGAAAGGGAGCGGGTGAGCTCCATGAGGAGCGCATCGAAGGACCGGAAACGGTCGCTAGAGATAGCAAACACCAGGCCCTTGAAGTAGCGGTCCCCATTCCGGTAGAAACGCGCCTTCTTGGCCTTCTTCTCCGAGCTCAGGGCCTGCAGGGTCCGCGTGCGATAGAAGCTGCAGTGAGCACTGTGTGCCGGGCTGGGGATGAGCCCGTTCCCTTTGGGGCCCGAGCTGCTGCTGCCCCCAGAAGAGCTGGGCGCCCCTCTCCGAGACCCCGGCCGCGGCCTTTTGTCCCGCTCCTCGAAGTGCTCCAGCTCGATACTCCTGGTGCTAGCCATCTCGGCTGTTCCCCCGGCACGACTCGTTCCAGGCAGCCCAGCAGGAAACGCGAGAGGCCGGCTGCCGGCGAGAGTCCTTAAAGCGCCGGGACACCTGGCCCTGGCATCCCGCCCTCCGCTAGCAGGTGGGGCCGCTGCGCCGCCGACGCTCCCGCCCGCGCCCCCTCTAAAGGCGGCCGCTGCGCCGCGCCGCCCGGCTCATTGTCCAGCGCGCCTCGCTCGGGTCCTCCCGCCTGCTCCGCTAGTCCCACGCCCCCCCAAGCACCTCCCTCCTCCAGCCACGCCTTGGAACTCCGGCTCCGGGAGCCGGTCCGGGAGCCTCCAAAGTTGGGCCGCCCGAAGCTCGCCCCCGACCCCGCGGGGACACACAAAGCTCGGGCGCGTCCGCCGCCTGCTCCCGGGAGCGCGGAGGGAAAGGGAGGGAAGATGGGGAGGAAGGAAGGACGGGGCTGGAGGAAGGGGAGCGGGGAGGGTGGGGAGCGTGGGAGAGGAGCTGCGGGCCGGGCACTTGGTGCGCCCAGAGGTCCCGAGGGCCGCGCTGCAGGCTCGCTCGAGCCCGGGCCTGCCCGCTGAGCGCGCGCCCTGCAGGGCCCTCTTCCCCTCACAGAGCCCGGCCTTAGCGGGCCTGAGGCCACCCGGGAGCATCCGGGCTCGGGCCCCACTCGGTGGCCCAGCCGCTAACAGGGCTCAGGAGGGCTTCCTGGCCCACAGTGTCCAAACCCCGGAGGGAAGAAGGCGAGCGGCCCGACAGCGCTGGGGAAGCGGCTCCTCCCGGCGCGAGCAGCCCCGCCCGGAAGGCGGCAGTCACTGCGGGCGCAGCGCGCGCGGATGAGCGCAGCCGCGGCGCGCGCGCTCCTGGGCCTGGGAAACGTAACGCGCAGGCCAGAGAATTACAAAGGAAGGAGACTCAAGGGCAGCGAGCACATCCCCAGCACGCCTGCCCACGAGGAACCCAGGCCAGAAACCAGCCCCGTGGCACGGAGCTGGCACACGATATTTGTTTATTCGTTTATTTATTTTAAAGCAGATTAGTGGCTTTATGTCAGCATCTGCTGAGAAAACGGTGTCCAGGTTTCCCCTTGCGGATTCGCCGGCATGATAGGCTCTGTAACTTTTGAATGAATGAGCGATCAGAAGTTACTGGGTTTTGAGGGATTCATTTCATCAACAACTGTTTATTGACAGCATCCCACATGCCAGGCCTTATGTCGGTCACTGGTGACGTTCTAGCAAAGGAAAGAATGTGTGCACCTGCTCCTACCAGGTGGTATCGAATGTCGTCGTAGTGCCTTGTGTAAAAGATCTAACATTGGTCAGCAGCCATTAGCCTGCAGATTTTTCTAGAATCTTGTCTGCAGTGAAAACGTGTTTTTGAAAGGCTTGTGGGCAACATCAATTCTTAACTTTTTTTTTTTTTTTTTTTTTTTTTTTTGCCTCTTGGGGGGAACGATGAAGTCTAAGGGCTTTTGATCCTAATCTGATTTCTGGCTCTCTGGGTTATATAGCATCTCATTCTCCCAGAGACCCTAGACACACCAATGTCAAACTGACCTTTAAGGTACAAAACAAAGGCATAAACATTTTACTTAGAATAATCTAGGCCCCGAAAGAGCATAAATAAAGCAGAAACACCATCTTCACCGTATCTGCGTAGTCACCTGTCTCTCGCTGGCTAACTTCTCCATCCCTGAACCCTCAGGAATACCCCAGAGGTCTCCTGCTTGGTATACCGTAGGTCTGGGGACAGGCATGGATGTGCTAGACTTCTAGAACCAGAAATGATGCATGTTGGAAAGTCAGGACTGATAGGAAACATCAATGAGGTTTTTCCAGAAGAGAATCTTGCAGTAAGATCGAGTTTGTGGCCTTGAAGAACATCTACCAGGATGGACCAGGTCAGAATTCCAGGGGATGTGAAGTGTGTGTGTGTGTGTTTTAGTAGCAATATGGGCAAATGCTTCTCAAAGTGTATTTTTCTTACCTATCATTTCTGTGCTATGAACGCTCCAAGTCAGTGGGTCTGGGGTGGAGTTTGAGGGTTTGCAGTCTTTCTGACAAGCTCTCAGATCCTGTCAATGCTGGTGGTCTTGGTACAGCACCAGGAGAAAGAAGGAACCAAGTGGAACGTGGCCTGGGAGTATTGCTAACTGCAGAGCGTATCAACTTGGCAAATGGCTGACGCTGGCCGATCCCATTTGTTTTGTTACTAGTACTCATTTATGGGAGAGAAAAAAGACTTGGTACTCCATTTCTGGGGTAACAAATTATTCCGGTCTTGGTGATTTAGAATAAGAAACATGTGTTATCTCAGCAGGGGAGGAATCCAAGAACAGCTTCTAATCTCGTGATTGCAGTCAAGATGTTTCCGGGGGCTGCCACATTGGAAGCCTTGACTAGGGCTGGCAGGACCGCTTCCAGGATGGCTCATTTGCATGGCCCTGCCAAGGAGGTCCCAGTTGCTTTTGGGGAGCACTTTTCTGCACTTGGACTTAGCCAAAATGCCAAAACACTGAGCATGTCTCCATAGGGTTGCTTTGAATGTCACCATCACATGTCAGCCAGCTTGCTCCGAAGCAGGCGATCTCAAGAGGAAGCCACAATGTTGGCTTTAATGAAATAGGGGCTAGGCAGCTAGCCCCTACCCCAAATCCCAAAGACTTGCATGCTAGTACGACAGGCTTCTGTCAGTCAATATGACACTGACATGCAGATCTGAAACACAAGGAATCACATTAAAAAAAATAATGCAAATAAATCATTTAAGTAAATAGAAATGGGTGACATAAAGAGCCTTGATAAAATATTTGACTCTTAACATATACAATTATATATATGTATATATATTTTAAACATTTCCTAACATATCCTAAGTCAAACAAGATAAATTCTTCTCAACAGGAATGGAGGAAAAAGAAGAAGTATTTCCCAAGATGTTATTTAGTTAATAAAATGATTCCACTCTTTGCATTTGTGTTGAAAGAATCTCTGTAACTCTAAAGGAAAAAATTCAGATGCAATCACTTTTTAGACCATATTTACTAAGTAAATATGTAAATGTCAAGATATATTTGGCCAAAATTTGAAGATGCATTGGGGTAGGAGAAAAAAAATCAGTGTCAACTTTTCAATTCTCATGCAAACAAAAATGTGCAGACACTAGGTAAGTAGCTATCGATTTAGGTTAATTTATGGTTTAAAATGTATAAAAATGAAGGATAGGCTTCCCTTTTGTGCAATTACAGAATTTGGAAAGTAAGATGTTATAAATGCCTGGCATTTCCTTTGTTGAGATACACCTGTTCTCCCTGGCTTTTTTTTTTTTTTCAAGAAATGCCATCCGACTTGGTAATTTTTCTGCCAGAGACATGGTCCAGTTCTCTAGAGAACTAGATGTGCCAGGTCCATGTTGAAAGAGATTTCCATAACAAGGGTTGGCCAGAGATGCCTCTACACTTTTCTGGAAGACTAGCTTGAATTTACCTTTTTCTTATTTGTGAAATCACCATACCCCTTCCCAACTTTCCCACACCTCACATATGTTTGAATATACTTTTATAAAAAGTGCTTTAAAACTGACTTCATTGTTCGGCTGCAACTCAAGGCTTTCAATCACAAAATTCTCCCTCTTTGACGTCGTTGGAAACAACTTTCTGCTCTTGATAGATCTATTTCATGTGGAAATTTTGTTGGCAATATGCAAAAGGATTCTTTGAAAAATCACTTGGTGCTGAAACTCAACCACGCCTGAAAGAAAACTACTGGTTCATTGTCTTTCTCACTTCTCTTTATATTACACAGGCTAACAATGTATCTTTAGAGCCGCCTTGTGCTACCTCCGGATGCTACTTTGACTAGTACATGTAATGCAAATTTTGTCTGGCATGATTTGTTTTAAGGACACTGTTAAATGCTTGGATGGGGGCTTTTCGTAAAACACCTGCCTTGCACATTTCTTGGTTTTGCTACTTACTGCTTCATTTCTCAAGTGACTTGGTCAGCCTGCACTTTTGGCCGCAAACTTCTGCTCTTAAAGGCAGTTTTCCAGCAACTCCATTACTACATCAAGGATGCCTACGAACCTTTCAGACTGCATCGTGCTGAGATGTTCTGCTGTCTCATGCTTTCAATTCAGTTTCAGTTCCCTGTATGCCAAGCTTTTCTTCCAGAAGTAAATGTGATGAAACAACTTATTTTCAGGGAAAAAGCCTGGTCATTGTGGATCTCACATTTTTGAAACTAAGCATGAAATTTTTTTTAGTTTCATAATCCCTTTTTAAAAAGATTCATTTATTTATTTTGAAAAAGACACCGGAGAGAGAATGAGAGAGCAATCTTGCATCCAGTGTTTGACTCGCCAGATGCGGCAATGGCCAAGGCTGGACCAGGCTGAGGCCTGCAGCTGAGGACTTCTTCCAGGCTTCCCATGGCAGTAGCAGGGGTACAAGCTTTCCCAGGCACCTTAGCAGGGAGCTGGATCAGAAGTGGAGCAGCCAGGACTTGAACCACCAGCCCGCCGGGATGCTGATGTTGCAGGCAGCAGCTTTACTCACTTTGCCACCATACAAGCCCCAGTTGCAAAATGTAACAATGAAAAATTCTTTTTTTTTTTTAAATTTTTAAAATTGTTTCTTGATACAGTTCATTTGGCGCCGGGGTCTCCTTTCCCCCTTCCCTAGATCCCCCCCTCCCTCTGTTCTCCCCTCCAGTCTCACAATGGGTGTCTTTCATGAATTTTCACAAGCCCACCATGCTGCTGCTGGATTGTCTCTCAACAATGTAGGAGAACAATGAGAAATTCTAGTTAAGGTTTAACACAAAAGAGAAGGCAAAATGTTTCAAAATAGAAGCTCTCTAACCTTACTCTACAGCCCCCAGATTGGGGAAAAAAACCATTTTCAGAGATTTCTGCTTTCTTTAGCTATGATTCTTACAAAACTTTCCATATGTATTAGGTCTTTGTCACAAACAGATTGACCAGGCTGAAGGCAGAGTCAGGAACTCGCAGATACCTCCCACGGATGACAGGGGCCCAGGCACTTGGACTATCCTTCCGTGATTTCCCACACACATAGCCGGGAGCTGGATCAGAAACACAGCAGTGGGCTGCGAACCCTGCTTCCATAGGTGATCTCGCATCACAAACAAAGGAGATTTTAAACTGCTGCTTTGCCAGACTATTGGGTTCCTGGCTCCTACCTGGTCTTCGCCTAGCTGT